CTAAGTATAATAACTAATAACTAACTAAGTAACTAACGTAACTAGTACTATACGTATATAGTATATAGTATATATATATATAAATAAAAAACAAAAAATAGTTTTGGGTCTTATTTTAAGTTTACTAACATGTTGATGAGTATATTGTTACTGGAGCACATATGTAATACACCCAAAGAAAATCAACTTTAAAGGTTGTTTTTTTTTTTTCACACCAGGCAGAACAGCTACAAAGGTCATTCCATATACTCCTGGAATGGGTGTCAGACATTGAAATAAAGCTGAGGTTCTCAGGTTCACTGCCAGATGATGAGGTGAACACAAGACAACAGATTGAAGAACATCAAAGGTTGCTGGAGCAGCTGAATGAGCAGGAAGAAAATAAGAACAATGCTTTAGTTTTAGCCCAAGAAATCCTAACGCACTGCCATCCTGATGCAATCATCATCATTAGACACTGGATTACCATTATCCAATCTCGTTGGGAAGAGGTGAGGATTTGTATGGTTATGAGTTGTGAAACACATGTAATAGTCTTTGAGTGTTGTGTTTAAATATGTATACTACATTTCAAAACTTTTAAGTAACAACAAGAGGAGGTAGCTCAGATCAATATACAGTATCTGTTATCAACTCCAACCTTTCACCTCTAGCTAATCATTTATATTGTACGACCTAACTTTGTTTAAATGTATGTTGTGTGGTCTACCACCCAGGTGTACATCTGGACCAGACAACGAGATCGGAAACTACAAGACCACTTACAGTCATTGCAAGATATTACTGGTCTACTGGATGAACTGATGTCTTGGTTACTGGAAGCAGAATCCAGTCTTACAGGTCTAGAAGCTGAGCCTTTGCCTGACAATATGCCAGCCTTGGAACACTTGATTACAGACCATCAGGTACTGTATGCCAGTCTAGGAACACTCAACCACAGACCACCAGGCACTGTATGACAGTCCTGGCACACTCAACCACAAACCATCAGGTACTGTATGACAGTCCTGGCACACTCAACCACAAACCATCAAGTATTGTCTTACAGTCCTTAAACAATCAATCACAGAACATCAGGTACTGTCTTATAGTCCTGGCATACTCAACCACAGACCACCAGGTACTGTATGACAGTCTAGGAACACTGAAACACAGACCATCAGGTACTGTATGACAGTCTAGGAACACTGAAACACAGACCATTACATCCTATACAACAGTCCTGGAACACTCGACCACAGACAGACCATCAGGTACTGTATAACAGTCTAGGAACACTCAATCACAAACCATAAGGTACTGTGTTATAGTCCTGGCACACTCAAACACAGACCATCAGGTACTGTACGACAGTCCTGGAACCTCGACCACAGACAGACCATCAGGTACTGTATAACAGTTTAGGAACACTCAATCACAAACCATAAGGTACTGTCTTACAGTCCTGGCACACTCAAGCACAGACCATCAGGTACTGTACAACAGTCCTGGAACACTCGACCACAGACAGACCATCAGGTACTGTACGACAGTCCTGGAACACAGACAGACCATCCAGTTTTATGAGGTGGTGGTGTTAGACAAATACACTGGTTAAACATAGAAGCTCAAAATTCAGTGTATGTTTTTAAAGGCTTGGATCTTAAAATGTAAAGAATGCAGATATTTTGTGGATAATATACAACACTTAACGATTCTGTAGATAATGCTGATCACTGAATGATGCAAAGATTAGTTTTTTCTTATACACTGACTAAGATTTTCAAATATCTTTTTTTTAGTTAAATCTATAAATTAATTATTATTTTTAAAAAAATAACTTATAATATATGCATTGTTTGAAACATTTATTTACACTTTTATGATCAGTCTTGTACCAAGAACATTAACAATGCTATGCCTATATTTATGTAATGTACTGTTAAAGACCCTGTAACTCAAGCACTTTCTACAGGAGGACCATTCTTTATCAGTTTGCCCCCTGATGAAGAATGGCCCACCTTTAGAAAGTGCTTTGGTTACAGGGTTTCTTATTTTTCCTGACATCATGACTGAATGCACTGCCATGCTCATTCAGTATCTTAATCAGTAGCATTTTGTCTTCGACTAGGTTTTCATGGCAGATATGACCAAACATCAGCCAGAAATCGACCGAGTCACAAAAGCATTTTCCATTAAGAGACAGCCACCTAAACTACTGCACCACACGCCACATCGTGTTAAAAAAACTGGAAGACACGACGACCGTAAACCAGGCCATCCATTAGGATCTGCTGCAGTACCAAAAATGTCAACCCCATTGTGAGTGATTATGAATCAGTTTCATAGCTTAAAACTTGTTTTAAACGAATGACGTTAGATTTGTCCGATAATTTTCATGCGGAAAAAAAAATTTACAAAAACCAGAACTTTCCTCAAGAAATATTTTAATGTTTACTTCCTTTCCATCAGGAAACCGTATGAAACACCAGATATTAAGAACCCTCGTGCTAGTACCCTTCTGGATAAATGGAGAAACGTCTGGCTACTAGCAATGGAACGTCAGCGCCGACTACAAGATAAACTCAATTACTTAATGGAGGTAATACTTCAAGTAACGTGAAGTTATGGATTTATATCTACTCTAGATCATGGAGAATTAAAATTTTGAAAAACCCTTTTTTGTTGTTTTTATGGTTAGAGAAAAAAAAATTTGTATTCAAAAATTACAACTTTAACTTTTTTTTAGTTTCACGAGACTCAGCCTATGTACTTATTTTTTGAGAAAAAGTTTGTAAAAGAAGCTGAAGTACTTAGATAATTAACTCGAAACTAAATTAGTCTAAGTGATTATTCATATTCATTATTTCTTTTAGCTTGAGAGGATCAAGAATTTCAACTTCGACGAGTGGAAACGAAGAGTAAGTCAATTTCGTATATTTCTCTAATTTTATGTTAGTATTAAAAATTCTTTTATTTTTTAGTTTCAAAAAACACTAATATTTCCGAGTCCAAGTTTAAATTTGTTTGTTTTTTTTCAGTTCCTTGGCTGGATGAATAACAAAAAATCCCGTATCATGGATCTGTTTAGAAGGATCGACAAGGATAAGGATTCAAAGGTTACAAGAGCAGAGTTTATTGATGGAATTCTGAAATTCAGTAAGCTCCTATATAATCATCCATTTCAATGCATTTGTCCGAAGATTAACATAAGGAAGTTTCATCATTAAACACTACCAATAACATTAGTTTTATCACTTATTAATAGCATAATATAAAACAAACTATATTTTACGTACATCTTAATAAGAAGGTTACTCCACTTACATTTGTAAGTTTGATTCAAGAATCTCCTGAGAAGTATGATTTTGCTTTCTTTACTAGAATACCCAACAAGTCGTCTTGAAATGGAATGTGTTGCAGAAATTTTTGATCGAAACGGAGATGGATTTATTGATAATAAAGAGTACATTGAAACCCTTAAGCCAGAACGAGAGGTAAGGTTTTTAATTCAAATATTTTTTTACCTTGTGCTTTAATAAACTTAGTATTTTTTACTTCTAATAGCTATACAGTGTCACTGAGAATAAGTTTTCTTAAACGTTCTAGCGATATCTTAACCATTCTTCAGCGGTGTTTTGTTAACAAAATGATATATTTTATTGTAAAGAAATAAATTATCAGGTGTGATGAATATTGGAAGTCATGTTTCTTATCTAGAGGCAAAAAATGATATCAATAATATCTTTTGGAAAAAATATCTTAAATCTTTATTTTAGAAAACGTTTTATGACCACCTACCAATTTACGGACCAAAAATGTTTTATTTCTTTTGGTAGGGACATCCGAAAACCGATGCCGAGAAGATCCAAGATGAAGTTCAGAGGCAGGTTGCTAAGTGCTTGTGTGCCCACAAATTTAAAGTTTACCAGGTTGGAGAAGGAAAATATAGGGTTAGTGTTTCCTCAATTTTCAATGTATTTTTTAGGGTTATATATATATAATCAAAAAGATTGATAAAGAAAGCTTTTCACATATTGATTTAAAAAAAACGTGTTTGAGAAGAATTTTACTGTTACTCATTCTGTAAAGAAATGTACGTTTGATGTAATTGTTGTTTAAGTTCAGCTAAGCACTTGAGCATATTTCTGTCCAAAAGGAAATATTAAACTTAGGTTATCTTTTATATCTACTACAGTTTGGAGAGTCCCAAAAGCTACGGCTCGTCCGTATCTTGCGCAGTACTGTTATGGTACGTGTAGGAGGAGGATGGATGGCACTTGACGAATTCCTTGTTAAGAATGACCCATGCCGAGGTAGGTGCCATCATTAGTCTTAGAATCATGGTTTAATGAAATATATGTGGCGTAAAGATACGAGATGTTTAAACCAGCAGTATAACTTATTGTTATAGTTTTGATTTTTAGAGTTTCTTTTCTACCTTATAAAGAAAGAAGTTAAAGTGTAAATTTAAAACGTTTTTTTTTAACCTACAGTCGTCAGTTTCCTTTTATTTGTTCTTTTGTACATCTTAATTCTCACTGTAGAATTAAATTTTATTGTGTATTTGAAACTAGGTTCTGATTGTTTACTTTTCTGATCATAGACAAGAGGGAAGAAGCATTAACAATATAAAAATGAGAAGACATGTAAATCATGTTTAGAGGATAACCGATATTTATAATACTATAGCTATGATAAGGCAAAACAACACTTGTAAACGAATATTTGGAAGAAGTGGTTTTGTATCTTGACGAACAGCAGGGTTTTCCTGGCATTCGTGTTAAATACGTAAGAGCAGAGCATTGATAAAGTCCTATTGTACCACCTAGAAGAACATCCTATGTACACTGAAGTCTGAAGAGCATGAAAGCTAATTTAGTTGGACAATCCTAAAGTCATGTGTTGGCTAGTTTAGCATAGTGGGAGTGAGCCAATTCCACCAGCAGATGGCAGTACAAGGGGTTGACAGGCTGTGGTCATTATAATGTACCATTCTTCAGAGGTTGAGATGTCCACCATGCTTTTATCACTGCCTCTTCTGATTATCAGTTGGATCAGTTTCCAGACTGTCTGCAGGGTGAAGCTTAACTTGCCTGTAAAAATAATATAGCTCTACTAGATGTATTCTACCTTTACCGTGAGTTTCATACACCTCACTTGGTGGCTGGCATTCAGTTGCAGCCATATTCGAGTTTTAGACTAGGCACCTTGGTTTGGAAATGGTTCCACATTCGTACATTTGTACCAACCTTCTGTAATCGACTAAGTTCAGTTTAATGTGATAATGGAGACAAGAACTTATGACATTATAACAGTGGTTTTGCCTTATCATATTACAATTTCACATTAGTCTTCATTACTTGTTGCAGTTTATATAATGTAATCGAGTTACTAGCTCCCGTTTTCTTTCCTTCTGTTAACGTTGTAACGATGCCAGTTAACATCCCTGCAACCAGACTCATTTCACACGTCTTATATCAGTTTAACAGTCTCATCCGTAGTTCACGAGTAACAGATAATGTGGTTACATTCAAGCTAACTGAAGTCATGTACACCTGTCGACAATCAAGTCGACTGCTTGCTTGTGCTTGTTTTTGCTCAAGTCATGGTTATTGTAATGTCTTGTTTTGAAAAGCTGTGATCAAAATTATTAACCTGGGTAGTAGTACTACTACAACAACCATAACTTAAGCTCATTTTTAAAATATTGAATTTTGTGTTTTCCTGTATTTTATTATGTTGTCTTGAAGTGTTGTTATATTAGTTTATTGTTGCATCCTTTTTTTTTTGTGTGTTTGTAATAACTTGCATGGCAAATATTTTGTTGTGTTTGCTACCATAGCAAATGGACGCATCGGTACTGGGTTGCAGGAAAAGTTTACCCATGCCAAGGGAGTCGGCCAATCCGTGTCTTCATTTCATCCCAAGTACAGCTCTAATGCCTCACAGTCCTCCCACAGTGGGTCCTCTATTGGCCACTCGGTCCCATCCACAAGACCCGTCATTAAGGTTTGTTCATTACCGATTTAAAAGGTATTCTGTTCCGAGGTCAATTTTGGACACAACTGACATCAAACTAGGCAATCTTTAGGTCATTCCAAGGTATTATAGGCAATATGTAAATATTTAACTTGCCTAAACACCACGATATCATACGTGGAAACTTCTGCCTTGAAAATTTACAGTGTATAACCATTACGACCTAATACACGTAGCTGTTGTATTTACAATCTCCGAAACTGACCTCGGAAAGTACTACACTCACAGTATGGAATCTTAGTTCTCATAGCTCTCCCCATGCTTTACATTACTCAATGTTTAGTTTTGGTTTTGCTTTTTATGCATGCTTTTGTTTAATACATGTTTGGTGTTTGGATAAGTTACTAGCTTTTCTAATTGTATGCCCAGTTTGATGTTTTAACAGTTACTAAGCTGTTTTTTTTTAGGTTTAAACTTTAAAACATTAAGTAGAATTTCTATTAAACTGTTATTCATTCAACCAGGTACTTAAAATATTCATTTATCATCACCATCTTCGGAAATCATGTCCAAAGATTTCAGGAAATTTTTACCGATTTAGTTTTTTTGCCGTACTTTAAGGTCCCTTATTTTTTTTATCAGTAATTTGACAAAATGTCTATTAATTAATAAACAAAAATTACTGATAGAATGAACTAACCCACAGTAATGTCCACAATATTT